GTTTTTTTTTGTAACCATTGGGGTATCTTTCCTGTGTTAAAATGCTCTTCTGAGAGGCCAACTCCTAGCGTTTTCATACAATGCTGACATGTCATGACCAGAGCAACTAAAGACTACTCGGTGTGGGATTTGGACTGGCCATCCAATATTTAAACTTATTATGTGAATTTATTGTAATGTTTAAATGATAGTTTTTTTATGGTATGTGTCAAATATTAATTCTTTAGGATTTGCTATAAAGTTCAATATTAATTTGGCTGGTTTTTTCTTCGTTAGTTCTTTTTCTCCCAGCCTATTGTTATATTTGTACTCAGTGAACTACCATTTTCTAAAAAGGCAAAGCAAAGATAGGTACTTCTACAAGCTTCACATATAGGCTACGTTTTTGCTCTAATATATTTTGAATGTCAGCATAAACTCTGTAGATAAATAAATGAAAAATTCAAGCTTAAAAAGTAACATTAAGCGAGGAGTTATTCCGATGTTTTGTAACAAGTAAGTACCTACTTCTCGCGGAAAAGAAAATAAAAAGCTTTTTAAGGAATATTTCTCGAAACTACCTTCTTGCTACGTAATGTAATGTGCTTTTATCAACCAAACATCGCTCGAGTTTTCCGCTTTTCAAACGAACGGAGGTTTTTATTGAATTGCGTTTTGCAGTTATAAAACGTATACGTTAATGACGTAACGTACATCAAAAAAAGTAAGTATTTGATTTTGCCATTTCACTTTTTTGTAAGCAAATACTTTTAGTGAAAGTGTGTAAGGGAATGTAACTAAATGAAAACGAAAAAAGACAAACATTTTCACACATTCGTCGAGGAGAAAGTCGCGTTCGAAATAAACTCGATTCCGTTGGCGAAAAGTGGAACTTTTACCAAAGTTTTAATCAAAACGGAAGCAGCGCTTAATAAAAAGTCGATTGAAATTAAATTAAATCGCAATTATTTAGTATTTTTTACTTACGTCATTCGTTACATTAACGCGTAGACGTACTTGGGGTCTGGGACATTAGATCAATGTTAAAGGGTTTTAGACTGGCAATTTGCAAACCGATGATTAAATTTACTTCACACTAATGATTCTTCATCCCCTAAATTTTTACTAACTCCGTCTCAAAAGCATATGTAATTGAAAGTGCTAAACGTTGTGTTGATCCTCTGCATGATCAATAACACCTACCTATAAGTGTAATTTATTCCAAGACAAAACTCACTCTCTCGACAAGGATTTCTCTTAAACCTCTACCATTGGCGCTTTTAAAATTACTTGAACATTTAACATACACAAAATGATAAAGAGATGCAAGGAAACGTTTACGTTATCAGTTCCGAAACAAATCCTTACAATCAAGTTAAGACCCAATATTAAAATATAGGTAAACCTTTAACCCTTTAATGTAAAAACAATCCCTTATGCAGATTTCTTAGGGCCACTTTCATTAATTTATTTGAGGCCTTACATTAAACATTATACAAACGTCGGAATGTATAACAAAAATTCAAAATTCAAATTTTTTGTGTCCTCTCTGTTTCGTTCTCCTCGTCATCGTCACTTCATTAACTTTCTTTTGCTTTTAGCGCATTTCTAAAAAATTTTAAAAAATGCGCTATTGTGGCCACTTTGTCCGTCCGTACGACTGTGTTGCTACTAGGGTTTTTCTACTTTGTTCGCTTGGATGAAAAAATAATTTGTTCGTTATTTTTTTGCACTTTTTTGAAAATTTCGTTTATAACTCGAAAAGTACGTATCCTACAGAAAATTTTACTCTTTTCTTTTCTAAAGAGCATTAAATTATGCGTCGAATGGCGTTTGAAACATTGAAGTTGAATTCCTCGTGCCCTCTTGTCACACGGCTTCCGGTTCCTGCTTCTTTTTCAGCCTTTACAATGTTAGACTCCTTCGTGTAGACACCTTTGCGACACAGATTTCTGAGTCACCACGTATGATGCCCATCATTTCTCCTCCTACTGGCCTCAATGAACGTTCGAAGTGACTTTTCCTTCAATGTCCCTCTATCCGCGCCCTCTTGCACAACATTCCCGCACATAAAACAAGTTACACCCGCCATTGTTTGCCTGTTGTCTTCAAATTACATGACCAGTGAACAATTCTGGAACAGAAAAAATCAGAAACTTAGTGAAAAGTTCTGAATAGGTAGGTACATGAAGTGATTAAAGTTTGTCCTCAGTTAGTTAAAATTATTTGAGTTTAAATTCAGTAGATTACGTTCAGTTTTGCTTGAACAAAGGGAAGAGAGTGAGAAGTTTTGAGTTCAGGCAAAGTTTCCGGCGTTGGACTGCCTTAGCGGAAATTTGGCGCTAAGGTTTAAAAATTATATCTCAGCACTGGAGTGAGCGAATTGCAAATTTCAAAAAGCATCTGATTAACAATTACAGTTTAATCCTAGGACATTTTTCAATCAATGCAGTCGTTTTCGACCTACGGGCGTTAGAAGTTGAGGATTGTCAACTTTTGAGCTAAGTTTGTAAAAATCGCCCATCTTTGACGGGTGATTGCGGCTGAACGTCTAAACTTATTTCAATGCTTCAAACGCCATTACATGCATAATTTAATGCTCTTTAGAAAAGAAGAGCGTAAAATTTTCTGTAGGATAAGTACTTTTCGAGTTATAAGCGAAATGTTCAAAAAAGTGCAAAAATTTTGCGCTTTTTAGGCTCTCAAATCTGACGCACCACCTACAAACCGTCGCAAACTCATATACTCGTACATGTTATTCAGGGCCCCTTAAAGGGGTTAAAACGATTTCCAACTCTCGAGCAATTTTTAGGTTCTAGAGCACTAATTTGACTGGGCATTACTTTAACATTCATAATCTCTATTAACTATTCCGTCACTTTCAATAACTACAACTGCTAGTAGTCTTTTTTGTGTTTGACTAGATCTCAAGTAGTTCTTTATTATTGAGAGAATAAATTGTTCCAGATAGTATTACGGTAATATTATTTCCCAAATTCGGTTTTTTGCCGCCCTAAAAAAGTGCCGCTATGGTCCCAGGCCCCCATGGCTACATGGTAAATCCGGTCCTGCCTATGTGATTCGTTATGGTGACGATACTTTTATTTTTTTATTTATTTACTTTATTTATTTATTTTATTTATTTATTTATTTATTTATTGTCCCTCTTACTCTAGGCCCTCAACAGGCTTACGCCCAATTACAAAGTGACCCGCATATTGCTTTTTAGAGGTGCCCCTGTAGAAGGTCTTAAATTGTTCTATACTATTCCAGTATTTACCTTACGAATTGGGAAAACTGCAGGAAAACCTAATTCGAAGTAGCCGGCAAAATGCTCGAAACTGATCTAAGGAAATTCCCATCTCTGCCACAGACGAAAAATTCACCTCAACCCAGGTTCGAACACCCGACCTCCGGTTTTGCAGTTCAACGCTCTACCACTGAGCTACAAAGCCGATACTTGCACCGAGGAAGGAATTTTTCCACGTTTATTACTCTAAAAGTTATAGTAAAAAATCTATTTTTTTCATGTACCATCATATAGGACTGGGTGGCCAACTAAGAATGCAAGGTGCTGTATCCGAGAACCTATCCATCGTAGAGGCTTGCGGTAAAAAAGTTATTACTAAAACGGCCACGAGCAAAACCTGGAAAATATTTTTAAGTTTCTGAAATGTCCGCTAGGGGGCGTAACTGCAATCTGGAATCTAAAAAAGTGATGTTTCTATGAATCCCGCTACATTAACCTAACAAAAAGATGTCCGGTCTTTGGAGTCGACGATAATCTGAACCTTTTTTGTTTGACAATTTTTCCTGTATCTCTAAAAATGAAGTGCTGAGGGGTATTCAAAGGTTTCCGTAAAGAACACCCTGTATATTAGAAACGACTGAGCCGATTTTGTCAAACTCGGGTTAATTGAAAAGAGCTGTTCTCCAGCTGCAAACATTATACTATTTGAAGTTTTGTTAGTTTCACATATCACCGCTTGAGAGCTTTTTTCCACATTCCGACAGAAATGGTTAATTTTCTCAAAAAAATTAAATGCATTGGTTCAATTTGTTTTATGAGAAAGTAGCTAAATGATGCCTAAACAAGCTCGCGAAAACAGCATCTTGATATCTTGAGATATATTATATGACATAGATCCTGACATAGATAGATTCGAGCATTTACGGCGGCATTAAAAGCTTCCTTTTTTAAATCGATCCACCTTAGGGCCACAAATTATATAATAAAACTAATTCCGGAAAAATTAGTTTAAAAAAATAAAATTTTGAGGGTATAAAATTTTCTTTGGCCTAAATTTTAGGTTAGGAACAAGATATCGAGATGCGGTTTAGGCATCAGTTAGCTACTTTTTCATGAAAAAAAAATCGAACCAATGCATTTAATTTTTTTGAGAAAATTAACCACTACTGTCGGAATGTCGAAAAAAGCCCTCATGCGGCGATATGTGAAACTAACAAAACTTATATTATAATATTTATAGCCGAAGAATAACTCTTTTCAATTAACCCGAGTTTGTTAAAATCGGCTCAGTCGTTTCTAATATGCAGGGTGTTCTTCACGGAAACCTTTGAATACCCCCCACCACTTCATTTTTAGAGATACAGGAAAAATTGTCAAACAAAAAAGGTTCAGATTATCGTCGCCTTCAAAGACCGGTCATTTTGTTGTTAGGTTAATATAGCGGAATTCCAAGAATTATCACTTTTTTAAATTCCAGTAAAGTCACTAGATATAGATATACAGTGCCACCAAGCTCAGAAAGTCCCTGACAGGGCGTGTCCGAGGGCGCTAGAAATTTAGGCCGTACATTCTGATGCAAAATTTGATTTTTCGTAAAATATAAATAAGTAGGCCACGCGCTATATGAGTTGCATAACATCAGGGGGAAACATTAAAATCATTTATTTATACTTGGATTTACAAAAACGTAAACACATTTAAAATTGTTAGATTTTTAACACAATTTTGAATTCTGATGCATTTCTGGTGTGTAAATATGGACAGTTATTGAAACAATCATATTGAAATTAATAACACTCACATTGACTAAATTAACACACAACCTTTAACTTTTTTCATTCATTATCATCACTTGACAACTCATCCTCATCAGAACTCCCGGTGTTCACAACAAATTCTACGCTCTCAATAAATTCCTCTGTTAAATAATCAGCTTCCCACATTTGTTCTGCAATATGTTTCACATGAATGCAATGCTTTTCCCATTCCTGTTGCGTAATTTCAGCACAAGCATTTTTTACCAATTGAACAATATTACTATTACTTTGCCCGACATTATTCATTGCTACTTTCCTCTTCATAGTACTCCAAATTAGCTCGATTGGATTAAGCTCACAGTGATATGGTGGCAATCGTACAACGGTGTGTTGATGTTGTTTGAGTAGTTCGTCTACATAATATGTCTTGCTGTGAGAAATGTTCTTTACTAACATTAACAACTCGGCCTTCCGCATGTCATCTGTCGTACTAATGTTGTTTGATTCTAACCAAGATCGTATCACCTCCTTACGATTATTCATTGTTGGCGGCTTATTTATTTGAACACTATGGTAGGGTGCGTTATCCATAACCACAATAATTGAGTTTGCTGGTAAATTTGGTATCAGCTGCTTCTCTAACCACTGCATAAAGTTAGTATGATTCATATCATCGTGATAATCCCCCGATTTACTGTGCGACTTAAATATCAACAAACCATCCTCTACAAAACCAGAACGACCACCAGCATGGACTATGATGTACCTCTGGCCAGCCCTATTGGATTTATAAACTCCCGATACTTCATCTGATTGCCAGCATTTACTCACTCCATACGATGGGTGGATATAGGTTTCGTCCAAGTATATAATGGGTCTCTTATCACCTTCACGTTGTTCATTTTCTCTTAATGTTCTTAAGTAACGAGAACGCCATGCTACGATGTCACTTCTTTCCATTAACAACCTACGTTTGTCATGACACTTCTTGTATCGAAAACCAAGTTTCCACAATTGCTTGCGAAGAGTTTCCCTTCCACCTGTATAGTTGATCTTCTCTTGCATTTTTTCTACGAGCACATTCAAAGTTGGTACCTTACGTTCAACTGTATATATTTCTTGGACAGTTCTTCGTAAAATACACTGATCAGCTTCATCAAAATCGATCTTGTTTGTTGGCTCCACGTGACGTTTTTTCTTAGGAGATTTTAACTTGGAGGGCCCAGCTTCATCCGATTCTTTGCGAATTTGTTTTATAAAACTAACTGACTTCCCAACTGCAGCGGCAGCTAACTCGGTTGCCTTTTCTAAAGGGAAACTCCAACGGGCAACGACCTGCATCTTTTTGTCGATCAAAGAATTCGACCACTTTACGGATTATATTACGAGCTTCAGAGTGAACAAGTTTCCTCTCCAAACTCATGAGTTAGGACTTCTGTAACAAGTTTTACCTCAATTAGCACTCTAAGATTCATGTAAGGTTAGGTACAGTTTTACATTTAAAAACACTTTAAGGGAATTACATACCTTATCAGATCGTAGATCCAAGCTATATGCGTCTTGAAAAAGACGAGTTTGTATAAACTGGAGACGGAAAACGTAAAATAAAGCAAATACAAGAAGCAAATAACGTGAAGCGCAAACTGTCAGAACGGAATAATTAATAATTATGGCGCGGAATGTACCGCGTCGTTTTGCAGGCTTTCTATTGGCCAGCCTGAATTATTTCAAAATTAGTTCGCATATTTTCCGGGGCTTTTCTGAGCTTGGTGGCACGTGTATTTGGCTTCGTAAAGAAATGTTCAGAATCGCCATCATGTTCATCTTCTGCATTTTTTCAGTCGTCATTAGAAAACTCCATCTTGGACATTGAAGTTGATAACACTAGGTACATTACTGGAAGAGTGAGTTGATCTACTTTGCGATCGAAAAGTTTAATTGCACTTGCACACGATGTGAACAGCTTCTCAGAAAACCACATCAAACCTTAATGACGCCAAGGAACCATTAATTTTACACAAATCCTTTGAAATTAGGAAAAAAACGCTGTGTATCGGCCATGTCTGTTAAATTGTTGCTAAGAACTTTAAATTTTGTAAATGGTCTTTGTAATACTATTAAGAGTAGTTCAAACAAAAATGTACAGAATCAAAAATTAAACGAATGAAACGTCATAAATTTGCATGCGTTCATATGTCGTCCCATTCGACGTCATCATTAGTACATGCATTGCAATGTGTTTAATAAGTTGCCTATTTAACGCAAATATTCGCTACAGTAAGCGGCTGCCATTTTTCCCTATCTCTCCGTTTGTCTATAGTGTATAAAGTCAATGCTATTACTCTATATTTTTATTATTACCATCAAATTGTCATTTTTGAACACCGAGATGTATAACAAAGACTATAAGGTAGAAATATTAACATGGTATCAGGGTGGTAACAGTTTAAGAACTGACCCCCCCCCCCTTCCCCTACTTTTTTGACAGAAATGCACGATTATTAATTTATTTTTGATTTGCACGATAATTACTAACCTAAATGTAATGCTATTTGCTATTGTTGGAAAGCATTTTTTCAGAGCTTTCCAACGGCGTATCACACATGGGGGGTCACTATTTAAGATTTAAAAGTTGGAGTGGCTGGGGCGCAGGGGGTTGGAGGGGGTGCGTCGCCAACTATGTTATTGTGATTCCCCCTTCGAATTACCGAAACGGATTTGGAATTTTTAAAATATCTCGTTTATTTACTAAGACATGGGGGATGGTAAGTTTTCAAATTATCACCCTGTATATGAACTTTTTCCAGCTTCTCGCGCTTTCGCGCCGCCCCCTCTACCACTACTGACCTATTGCATTGGTGTGGGGGATCCTTTAAGGTCCACTCAAACCGACGCGGGAATGTGAGAACGGCAGCGGGATGGACGCAGAATATCTTTGTACAGCGGGATGTGCAAGTATAACGGATGGAAAGCGCTGCATCAGTGTATTGATACTTGCATATCCCGCTGTACATAATATAATAGACCGCGTCCGTCTCGCTCCCGTTCCCGCATTCCTGCGTTGTTTTGAGGGTGTACCGTCCACAAGTGCTACATTTCGTTGAGGCGTCCAGCGTTCGCGGCCCGCGGCAACGTCCAGTCATGACACACTGCTACATTGGTCGCCTGGAAGACGCAGTGGACCGCCGTCGACGCCGGGTCGTTCACGAACTCATCAACATCATAAAATCATTTTCATTAGCCAATTGTAGCAGTGTGTCACGGCTGGACGTTGTGGCGGGCCGCGTACGCTGGACGCTCCAACGAAATCCATAAGGCAGAAGATTTCTCAACCACAAGCACGATCTCTTGTGTTACTGCGTAAATGGGGCCTCTTACTGCTTTATTTCATGCTTCTGAGAACCTCAAAATTTAAACAAACTCTATCCTATTTAGAAATGTTATACATAAAGTGTGTCCAGGTAGAACGCACTATAGGGAAACGGTAATGTATTTTTTCGCCAAGGACCCACGAGGCCTTTCAAATGAGCGTGCAACGTACCTACTACTTACTCCAATCTGTTTATAGAATCAGGCAAGCGCAAACGTACATGAACGCTAACGTCAACGGACTCATGGATCCTTCGCAAAAAATACATTAATTCTGTTTGTCTACATAGAACTACAAATATGACATCGAAAATTCCCAATATATGGCTTGCGGTACAAAACAGGGTGTGTCGATTCTATAGATCGCTTTGACATTTGGCAACAGTATCCAATTTACAAAAATTCAAGTTCCATACTCGAGTTTTGTGCCTATATAAACACCGATTTGCGGACATTTTACTTTTTCCTGAAGAAGAATGCCTCCAAATCGCATGGAATGCTTGTAGAAGCTTATGAATAGGATGCTCTTGGGCTTACACAATGTTGTGAGTGGTTCAAAACATTTTAAAGTGGAGATTTTGACGTGAAAAACGAGAAACTCAGTTAGAAGACGTCGAATTGCAAACATTCCTGGATGAAACGCAACAACAACTTGCAGAACAATTAAATGTGACCTAAAAAACCATTTCCAATCGTTTGATAGCCATGGGAAAGATTCTGAAGGTCAGAAGATCAGTTCCACATTAAATCACGGAACGGCAAGAAGAAAACCCAACAATCACTGTGATATGCGGTACCAATATTTTAGAAGTTGGTTTGTGCCCTATGCAAAGTATGGAACCCTAAGAGGCACCAATGCCACCAACGGTCGACACCGTTCCGGTTTCATGCTTTTAGTGACAGTGCTTACTTTGTAGAGCACCTTTAATCGCCTACACAGCCAATGAGGCATCACAATATGCTATGAATAAAGCAAAATTTATTCAAAAATAATTTTATTACCATCCAAAGCATACGCACCCACATTTCAAAGACAAAATATGCAAGGCGATCATATCTTAATAAATATTTATCTTTCATCATCCAAACTCAAATTAATTTTTTAAATAAACCCTAAAGTGTTGTTTTATATTAGTAGATGATATAACTATAATTTGTGTGTACAAATTTGCCATAAACAATTTTAATGATCAGATTTCGCCTGAATGGAATTCCTGTTTTAATATGTATGAGAAAATATGATTTAATTAAACGGACACCACCAAGTTGAGATCTAGAAATTAGATACAATCTCACTTTCTTAATTTTAACATGTATTTTTTAACGAAATAGGTTTACTTAAAAAAAAGTGAAGTTGAAGTGGGTATAGTAAGGAAGGAATGCTTAACTAGAAAGGGATTCCTCATTCTTCTCCTACAAAAAAAATACACTAGAAAAAATGTTATTAATATCGTTTAAAATCCAGCACACATTCTTAAGATTTTAAACACATGAAAAAATGTCTAGAATGAGACAGCTAAAAAGTAAGAAACAAGTTCCTTCATAAATATTCACATTCGACCCACTATAAATCTGAAAGCAAAAATATGCGGCTATTAAAAAAGACAACATATTAATTCGATAAATATAATTTTTTTTATTCGTGAAAACATATAATACACTGCAGTATACATATACATACATATAAGTATTATACAATACGCTTTTTTCTACAACTTTATATTAAAATTTTTATATCACACAATGTATAACATATGATCAGTGCTCTTTCGGATTTGCTCAAAGGCATTTTACCTAGATTAAGAATGAACGTGATTGTAGTAGAGGAAAAATCTCCAGTTCTTACAAATACATTAATAACAAGACTATTTTCAAATCGACTTGAAATATAACCGTCGGCGATGGTATGCCTCAACAGGTATTTACAAATTTTTATTTTGGATAACACAACAGTCCAAGGTTGGAGATGTTTCTCACCGGATTGTATTATTAATGAACCAAAACAGGCAACAACTTAGCTCATTTTTAATCATAAAAACCAACAACCATAACTTATTTATCATAATAATTTGTGAACCCTGTAGTTGACAAGTCTCGTTTGTATACCTTTTCTTTCTATTTTATTTGAATTTTAAATCTCGCCTTATGTAACCGTTTTGTAGAAGAGAAATATTTTTGATTTAGTATGAACCTGTCGCTAATTAGAATACTGATCTGTTAAAAAAATTTATGTACAGTCGATAGCACAAGAGATCCCTGATAGTTATCGTAGTAGAGCAGCTTCATAAAAAGAGTTTGTACAACGTATATTACAGGAAGCAGGAATTGGTAGAGGCACAAAATGAGTTATATTAGTGTATACTAATTGGATGGCAGCGCCAGTGTTATACTAAAATTACGCTCTATAACTGCCGCTGTCATCCGATTTACATAAACCAACATAAGGACATTTAAAATCAAACACATAATTATTGCAAAGCAATTCGCATATAAGTACACGTTTTCTTCTTTAAAATTTTTTAAGTTCAAAAATTGCACGGAACGTTTAAATTATTTAGAGATGGTCTAATGTTAGTATGCGGCGGCGGCACCATGGTGTACATGTCCGAAGTGTCCCAGACCTCCCAGTGGGTCGGTAGGTGTCGGTGTCGGCTGGCACACATACCATTCACTAAGAGCAGTACTACACGGCACTTGTGGTCCAATTTGCGGACTAGTCGCGACCGATATACTTCCCGCCGAGGAGGAATTTGATTCCTCGCCGTCACTGTCGTAGTGCGGCGGCGATCTTCCCGAACAACCGTGCACTTTCATGTGTTTTCGCAGGGAGGAAGGATGCGTGTAGGATTTATCACAGCCCGAAACTCGACAATTGTAAGGTTTATCGGAGGTATGCACGTGAGAGTGTTTCTTTCGGTCCGAGGAATTCGCGAATCGTCGATCACAGCCTTCGTATTCACATTTGAACGGTTTCTCGCCTGAAACATGAAGCACAAATTAGTGAAAGGTACCTAATAAAACAATTCTATTATAAGATGATTGATTAGTACCAACTTAATGTGTGAAAAGTGATCTGGGGAAACAAGGAATAACATGCCTCGGTACTTTTAATGGGGTTAACAGAACAAGGCAGTATCACAGCTTGTAGTACCATGAAATAATTTATATTGTTATAAACATTTTTCGCAATTACAACATTAATTATTAGTTATGAATCGTATTTTTTCCTATTATTCTAAGGCATGAAAGATCAAATAAATTAAGTACTGCTGTAACGACACGTATAATCTTAGTTTGCGTAATTTTTATTTGTTGGATCGCTCCAAAGATGGTTCGTTTTTTGTGTTTAATTTCCTTGTCTTGAGAGTTTAAGTGTTATGTGTTATTTCTATATAAAATGAACATGTGCTAAAATTAATGGGTTTGGATAAGAACAATTTTTACGTTTTGTTATAAAAACAATTCTGGAAGACGCTTGGATGTTCTCAATTTTGACGTCATAGACTAGAGGATTGAATTTATTAAGTTCAATCCTTGGTTCAATCACAATTACTTTACGTTTGAATCAGAGTTTTTGAAGTTTACGTCCTCAATTATAAAGCCAGCGTCTACATTCAAGAATAAAAAAACCGCATACCGTGAAAATCATAAACGTGATTTAAAAGTAAGTGAGTAAGTTTTTCAATACATTCGTGTGCGGTGTTTGATGAACATTAAATTTGTTGTGGGTAGATTTAATTTAGGTGGTGTTGGGGAACGTGAGTGAAAGTGTTTGTTTTTAGAAATTTTGTCACTTGTGTTTACGAACCCAGTAAATTTTGAATCTGTTGTCAATTTAGGCAAGCCGAGTAATTTTAATTTGAAAAAGTGAAGTGTGAAAACAAAGCGATTATGTGTTCTTTTTTAATCTAGTTAGTGTGACCTTTTGAAGTGCAGAATAGTGGGGTAGTAGTGTAGATCATACCGGGCAAGCATGCGAGTTAAGCAACAGTATTGAACAATTATCTCGACAGTAACAAAAAGGGGCGCCGGTTTGTACTCTGTATATTCCTCAGAAAAGCGTTTTAAATAGACAAATATGTTTTCTATTTATCACTTATAATATGAAATAGATTTTTGTAAATCAATTATACTAAATGTTAATAACAAATTGGAAAACATAATTTCAGTTTCAATGTCAATTTTGTTAGTATAATATTTTTTTTACTTAGTACAATATCAAAAAGTTTTTAACCTTAGATATCTATGACAGAGTCATTTTCAGTCGCCAAACAATCATACGTTCGCTTTTTAGTTGACATTTATTTATTATTGATATGTGAAGTGGTTCAGCAGGAAAATGTACCTGTAACTGCAAAAGTATTACCTATTTACTTTCCCTCGTCAAAATTTTACAGGATACATATATTAAGATTAGGGGGAACCCCTTCAGGAACTGCTATATCAATATGCCAAAGAAAACCGAAAATAATACAGGACCAGAACTTATTTCGTAAATCTGATATGATGTGTCACATTCGGAAGACAAATTTTGAGACTTGCGAACACAGTCCCCAAACAATGCATTTTAGACTTTTATCTTTTGCAAATCAAGATTTGATAGGAGAAATAAATATACAAAGGAAAGTTGATTCTTTGTTTTTTCTGTTAATGAAATGCATAAAGAAATTGATGGGAGAGGGGGGAGTGTAACAGGAGATTTTTAATAGGGTCGATTTTTTTAAATTTTTGTAGCGGTCTTTTGCAATTTTAACTTTATTTTAAATCAATAATTTTCCAATGAATTAAGCGCATTTTGTAAGTAGAACTACAGGATGCGTAATGGAAATAAGGTAAAATTAGTCGGATGTTGACTGTCAACCTTTTGCGGAGTTGTAGGAGGGATCAGTGAAGTCGAAGAGAAAAAAGGAATAATTACGTGTTGAGCAACGATAGAGCTCGTTTGGTTATTAAGAGCTCGGGATTTTAAATAGCCTCGAAGCGTTATCAAAGGTTGGTTCCCGTACTGGTAATTAATAATTAATAATAAAAACGGGTTGTCATAAACGTTGCCCGAACAGTGTGCATTATGGAAAGTACCCCAGTCGCGAATACTGTTGGTTTCAACAGGATGGTGAGACCGCGCACAACACCCTAATCGTGCCATAATACTTATCGAACATATTTTTCATTTTCCGGCAAATTTGTCAGATAAACTCGATGTTGAAAATGAAACTGGTCTACAGTCTTTTGTTTTTGAGTTATAAGCCAAAGTTGCAATATTCGATTTTTGAAGTTATGGTAAATGTGTTTATTACAAAACATCGTATGTTATGATTGTTGCATAATCTGACGTTTTCAAAGTATGTATACGAGGTCAGGTAAAAAAGTTTTTTAAATGGATTCAATTCAAAAAGATTAAAAATAAATTAAAAATTCAAAAATTTTGTGAAATTTTTGTTGTATTTTGTTGAATGTTTCTTTAGTACCATAAACCATTTCAATTAGGTGCATCACTACTCAGTTTACTCCCGATACTACGCCACCTTAATTTTCAAAGAGTAAGTAAAAAGAATGTTATTGTTGTTAACTTTTTATGATGATCAGAATGTCAACTGTATTGTATATTCATATCTCGATTCATACTTTAAGTACGTTGCTACCAAACTTAGAAGTAAATTGAAAATCTCTTCCCAATTTTTTCTATGCCCCATTTGCGTATAATGGTCGTTTAGAAATGATTGACATTAGTAATTTCTTCTGGTAAAGAATAGGTCAGATGTGTTTGGTAATATAAATACCTAACAACAATAACCGGTCAGTTATATTTACGGTCTTCTAAACACAAGGGCTGGATATGAAACACGACTCTGCTGGTCTAATAGAATACCTGTTCAGAAATAACATGCAATTTAATGCATTAGATTATGAGCGAGACAAATTAAAGGTTTGCATTTTTGAAAAAGTATCCCCTTCAAAATTTACATATAACCCATTTGTAGATATCACGCAAACACATGTAAAAGGATGTTTACAGGAGGTCATCAAAATGTAGTTGACGGACACAGGTTTCAGGTAAAACGACATAAATATAAAACACTTGGCCGAGATCTTCAAATGTCAAGTCAATGCCCACTTCACAGAAAAAAACTGTAGTAAATTTTCTTTTATATATTTTTGTTGGAGTCCGAACCGCAACCGTCGAGCTCCATTATTCACAAATTTGGGAAAAGAATTCGGTGATGCGGACGAAATGTGATAAACGACCGCTTTCTTTCTTTTTGATGGGGACCCTTACTCGTAAACTTACCCACTTCTCGCATTTTAAGCGCATTTTTAGTTTTAAATTAGTTTGGTCGTCTGCCTTTTTTCAAAAACTACTTCTATAAACTTTTATGCGCCAACCGAATCTAACGCGTTCGTTATTTTATCTTTTATCCAGGTGTCGGTTGACTTAAAGGGTGTTTAAGGAGCATTATTCTATTAATGGTTTTCTATCAGGCTCTTATCTTTAAACATGCAGTGTCGGGACATTTTAATATTGATAGGGAGGTGAGGAAGCGGATGTAAAAATTGAAATTCAAATTGCCCGTTCCAGTTACCTTCTTTTTCGCGTGCTACTTTGTATGAAATCGTAAATTACCGGGAGACATTTTTAGGGGAACTTTTGCAGCAACTAATTAATATATTTCAAATTTATTTGACGACCTATTTCGTATATTCCAACCAATCTTTATAATATAATCCCTATCACATTCAAAGCACCATCAATTTAACGTGTGCCGAATTCACAATGGGGCTCGTTATTCCCATACTTCTTTTATTATCCAAATGTCTAAAGAATCATTTGTCATTATTATATTCTAAAGAATTGTGGCTATCGATAGATTTTTTGCAGATTCACAAGTTTACGCTCAAAATATCTTTCATTCTCGCTGGCCCAAGCCCTACGATAGGTTTTATATAGCCCAAAATCGATCATATACGTGTCTGCTGTTTGAAGGTTTACGTCGACGTCACGACAGATTATTAATCATGTACTGACGTAGATTATTTATTACTCGAAGCAGGTATATATTTAAGACTGTAAGAAACTGGTTGTAGCTTAAAAATGCCGAAACCATTGCGTTCGGTAATTCGAAATGTTTTAAATCTTTAAATCGTGCTATGACTACCTACACCTAACGCCTGTCATGAGCGATCTATATATCTTTACTAAGTCAGCCCCGGGATTATTATAAATCAGTTTGTATTTAAAAGGGATCTTTTAGTTCAATAAATAGCAGCTTATCTTAAATCAAACAACGATATAACACATTATGGATTATAAAGGACTTTTAAAGAAGTATTTGGCGTTAGAGGTTTTATAGAAGCAAAAAACGTAAGCCAATTACGTTCCTGTAAGTTAATTTCGTTAAGCCAGACGTCCAATCTGTCAACGTTCATGTAATGGAGAATCGGGTTTTAATTTGAATTTTGCGCTTACAATATTATAATAGTAAACGTTCATTTTAAACAAGGGTGTATAATAGTGGACGTAGATCTGCCTTTAATGCAACATTGAAACTGCAAATGTCGCTATACTTCCATTGTTAAAAAGGCCCTCTAGATTTGATTTTACAAGTATAATCTATTTGACCGTTTTCTTAATGTGACATTCGATTTATCGCTACATAATATTTGTGATTGCATGATGCTTGGTTATTTATATCACAAAGTGATTGTCACAGCAGTTCAACCAAAAAGAAAGTAGTGGTGGATTATCTATTAATATACAATACGTTACCTCCTAGAGCTCAAAAAGGGTTGGAAGCTGCATATTGTGTTTGAAATCTCGAGCGGCAACTGATGGAAATGTTTTTAAAAGGGACAGTAAACGGTAAATGTAAAATTAAAGATAAAGAGTATTAAGAGAATAGAACGAAATGCATTGGTTGGCCTCATAAGGCCTAACCTAAGGAATGGGAGTGGAGTGCACTTTTAGGAGCTCCTATTTTGGCCAGAAGTAGGTCAGGCATGCTCTCGGTCAATCTGTGAATAAATGGCTGTGTCAAATTGCTAAATTTTTTTTACTAAAGTTGCTGTGTCGACGGTAATAGGTAGTGACTTGTTACTTTGTGGAAATGCACGACTACACACTGTGTCCAAGATAAGGGTGCCTATGATGGGTATTTCGAAAACCATAGAAGATACGAAGATGACCAAATTATGGAAAATGTGTGCAATCAGCGTAATTATTATTCCTTAAAAAGAAAACCAGAAAATTCCGAACACTTCCAAAGATATGCAAGAAAAACCCAAATATGCGGATTTTGTTTTTGTTTTTCTGATGTTATTTGAACAGATAAAAAAATACTTTCTCATTGCCACTATTGGAACTCTAGTAGACACCGTTGAGAGATTTTCAATACAACGTCTCGTTTCAGAGAAATCATCAGCAACCTGATTTTTTATATGACTCATAAAAAAGTGTATACTGCATTGAGTAGTATTTTTTATTAGGAACACAACGAGGTACGGCACACCAAAAAAAGAAAGGTTGGGAACTGTTTACTTCAACAAGATAGTGCACCAGCGCACAACACCCTAGTCGTGCCAAAGGACCAAGCGGACAAATTTCGTGGAAAATGGAAAATATCTCCGATAGGTATTCGGGCGATGTGCGCCGGTGCACCATTTTGTTGAAACTAACAGCTTTCGTTTTTTTTGGGTTCCGTACATCGTTGTATTCGTAATAAAAAATGGTACTAAATCTAAATACAGTATGCACTTTTCTTACGGGCCATATAAAAAAATAAAGTCGATGATTTCTTCGAAACGAAACATTGTATTCAAAATCTCTTGGTGTCTTGTAGAGCTCAAAAAGTGGCAATGAGAAAGTGTTTTTTTAATTTTTTTGTATCTGTTCAAATAACATAAAAAAATAAATGTGTAAACAAATCCAGCAAACGAGCTCCTGATGGGTATGGCTATAGTATGCGCAAAACCAAATGTTGAACGTGATGTTAGATTTGCTTTTACTCCTAGCGCACATGTATCCACTGTCATTTAAATACTTTAATAAATGAGAAAGTTCGCATTGCGCATGCGCAACACAACATTTTGAAACTGGCGTCAAGTTTTCCTTTATTCCAAATAATAATAATAATAATTATTATACTTGGCTATTGTGCCCATCATTAGCTATGTTGGTAAGTATGAATTACATACTATCCCTAGATTTGCAATGTGCGTGTGTGATTTTTTTTTGAGAACCCTACATAAATTCACACAGACAAAGACACTAATCGTTACTTCATTTTAATTAATGCGATTAGTTAACCAGGCTAGACCCGAGTTCTCACAAGAGACACCGACCATAATAATAATAATTTTTATCTACGACTATTAAATAACGCTCAAATAACGTCACTATATTTTAGCGAATTATGATATGCATTATTATCGGTTCCTCTAAAATCCTTATATACAACTACTTTACGTCACTATATATTTCTCACAATTGCATATGTATAAGTTCATAATTGCATATGTACTAAAAATAGAACCGCCCATCTCGTATGTACTACCTGTCAGTTTTGTTTTGAATTAAGCATTTCTTAGGTTAGAAAAGAGAGATTTCGGGTTACGTACGCTTAACTTTGTAGGTTTATTTGAAAAACAATTAATACAGGAACTTGATCCACCCCTATGACGAGATATGTGCGATATTTATAAAATGGGATGAAATAAACTTGTAAAATACCTGAAGTCATTGGCAAGTTCAGGCAACGTTACTTAACGACAGATACCTTCGCTGATACAAATATTCTGCATGAGCATGAATAAGGTTTTCGTTTGTATTTAAAGTATCTGTACCTTCATATTCACAAGGCATTATTTGTAGCATAATGGATTATCGGAAGCCCCATTTGAAGATTATGCTAGGTATAACCTATAAGTTTCAGCCTTTTACGAAGAGAATATGTTTCGTACAACATATGTGGTATTGTTGTCGAAATTGTGCCACGATACAAAACAATAACATATTGTAAACTCGTTGACAATAAAGGATACAAATTGTCGTAGCACTTAACCACCGTTTTGCATGATTTATTTTAAGAATTGATAATTCGTAACAGGTCTTACATACTAGGCATTGACCAAATTACTTAAATAGATGGCTACAATATGTACGTTAACTAATAAAAAACACCTGTTGCCCTTAAATTTGCAATAAAACTATGCTTTCATTGCTTAAACTTCGTTTCTAAAAGAGGAAGAAACTTCTTGGATGCAGGTCGGAGAAGCGTAACGAAGTCTTTGAAAAATTAGATTATGTATGCGAAACAAAATATTGTATTCCATTTTTTGGCAGCTGTGTAACAATTTCTGCAGACATAATTGATACATCGGGATCGGATTTAGAGAATAGTTGTACAGGTACATCACATAAATATCCACCTTACTTCCATAGGTTATATGTCACAATCTAAAACAATGAAAAATGAATGACAACCATTTATATTAGCAATAATCTTACGTGTAGGTAATTACGTGTTGAATTAATGACTTCTGGGAACTTTAGATAAATTGCATATTTAGTTCGCCACTTAGGTACATTGCGATACATTGAATTAGATTTGAGGTTAAATACCGTCCACGAATGAACGAACGCAAACCAAACCATAGGCGTACATTGCGCTACCGCTATGAAGTTGCTACGTTTCAAACTGATTCAGATGCCGCATTTTCTATTTAATTAAATAGTCGTAGATAAAATAGCGTATTTTACTTGCATATAAAGGCGATTATGACACTCGGAAAAATTACAACACTCGCCTTCGGCTCGTGTTGCAAACTTCACCTCGTGTCATAATCGCACACTTTATATGCTCGTATAATAATATATTTTTATTAACAGGAAAACACATAATATTATAATGACATTATTACTTGTTAAACTCTCAACTGCCAGCTATTATTGTGTTGGTTTCTCTAGTTACGGTTCCCAGTATATCTCCTAACATTCCTCCAAGTTAGCTCTCCAAGAGAGCTCCGTACTGCAGGTCGACGATGACGCGTTGAACGTCTCAGATCTCCTCTGTTCTGGTTTTGGAGTACAGGGATGAGGCGTGGAAAATTCCACAGAACGAAATGGTGCAACCGAAGACTAATCCGACACTAATACTGGTATTAATTTGGGATCCGCACTTTGAACACGTTCTAAGAGTCATCGTAAGAGTTTTCCTATTCTTGATTAGGTGTCGAACGATAAGCTAATAACATTTCATTTAATAAGATTGATTACCTTCTCCCCCCCAAAAAATTTGTAACATTGCGTTTTTAAAAGTACACCAAACCTTTCTGCTTCACCGTTTGAAACTATTAATCTATAATAGGTGAAAAGGGGCGGTTGTCAAGCGTTCAATTTATGGGCATTCCAGAATTTTTTAAATTGTTTCGAGGATATTTTCTGGTAAACCTTCGTGAACAAAAACTTAAAGATGATTCATTGAATTGCTACTTTCCTTATTTAATAAGATGGCATAAGATTGAGATTTGCACTGCGGAAGAACCACGAGCAGCTGGTAAGATTCTTAAGGCCTCTGATTTCTGAAGTTGTTCAAGAGTGTTCTGTGTACGGGAAAATTTGAACCATTTGAATATTTGCAAATGGGTAGAGTAGTTTAAGTAAGTAAAGGTTTTTAAAGTTATTTACCGTTTAAATAAAACGTTCTTGTAATATAGTAATTTCTTTAATTACTCCTTGAATGATTTGCACTTGCGATTGCATATAACTTAGTCCCAGTGTGTCATTATAATTATAGATACCACGACAACCAAGAGTGCCTCATCAAGATTTGAAATATGCCATTCTTACTGAACTGGGAAGTCGTTGATCAAACAGGTGCTATTCCTGGTCCAACGCTGAAGGTTTGGTGCACATTAGCAGATATTTTCTAAACTTAATGCATTGTCACAGCTCCGACTTGATTTATTGGGTATTTCGTTTAT